GTTTTTTTTTTTTTTTTTTTTTTTTTTTTTTTTTTGCATAGGGGTGCCACTGAAAATCACGAGTAGACTGAAACAATAGTCTTGAACATAAAGTTCTTTTGATATCTGCGTCAACCCTATAAATATGCTGAGGTTTGTTTCAATAATTTGCTCTTAACCGTAGGAGTTGTAAACTAAACTACAAGAGATATCTATGTGAAGAAAAAGATTCAATGGAAAAAGATTCAGAACATTGACAGTTTTCAATGTCACGTAGCAGAACATTGACAGTGTTAGATAATACCAAGCCACCCTACCAGCCACCCTATATATCCTAGCCTGCCTCAGCCACCTCAAGTCTGCCTCAGTCACCTCAGAATGGGAGTCATTATTAGAAAGGTTAATAAGCTCAGCGGCAATGCCTGGTTGGCTAAAATATGTGAAGTAAAAGACTTTACTGGGACATGGAAGCTATGCTAGCTGAGGATAACATGAATGGTGCACTAACAGAATATTATGCATTCATAAAATCTATTATACTTTTTTAAGTATTATGAAAATATGGTCAACGATCGCCAGTTTGTAGAACTACAAGCTGATTTCTTGAACATCAATGTTCAGTAGAGAATCCTGCTTCATTAATGCTGAGGCAAGCTGTGACTTTATTCACACGGACGGTGTTCAAGTATTTCAACCGAAATTGACATGTCTATAAGATTTTGTGGTACACAACAGTGGCCGAAGTATACAATACGGAGTATATAGTTTCATTTTATAAGGTGTACAGCTACATACTACTTTGTACAGAATACAAAGTGTTCAGTAATATTTTTAAACCCCAACCGTGAGATACAAAGTGCAGAGCTACATACACGATACTTGGTATTTGGTTAGTTAATAAGAGTATCAAATACATGACTTTCTTCTTTTATCAAACTCATGATAAGAACTCAGTTCAACATATTTCTTTTCCTTATAAGTAAATAGATCAAGCTAATTAAAATGTATGATATAAGAGTGGTAAGTATGAATACATAATGGAACATTATTAAGAGGGGGAATAAAAGAGGAGATTTTCCCTATGCAACCACATCATGGCGACTGCATGGCTAGCATAATATAACCCCATGCGCTGAACGTTTCATACAATATTATAGGTGCTTTTTATCCTTGCATTGAACCACATTGCCAATGCTAGTAGCCATCAAAGACTTAGCGTAGTCAAAAGGACCTTTAACGGTAATCAAGCTAATCCACATACAAAACAGCTCAAATATCTCACAAAAACCAGAGCAGTTAATCATGCATTAATAATAATAACCTAGTACTGCTGCAAATAAAAAACCGCAGCGTATTTATCTACCTAACAGATTTTTAACTCTCTTCTAATTTCCTCCCAAAACAAAAATAAGACCTGAATTTAAGAGACATCTGAATAAAGATAAAGCAGATGCTCATCTCTCAGGAAAAGGAAAAAAAAAGAAGAAGAAGAAAAAGTATTGCGGATGTCCAATTTTCAGGATGAACATCCAGTTTGAGACAACCATATTTGAGGGGAGTTGCCTAAAATGAACCCTTTCTTTTACATTAGGATGTGGATTTGGGGCTGATTTCCATCTAGTGCAAAGTGAAATTCTTCTGAATTTTGTTATTTTTTATTCTACTCTTAAATTTCATTTTCTTAATTGTGTACAAATTGTTTAGAGGCCTATATAGTTTTCAGATTGATTAACAGGGTCTTTGGATATGCTATGTGTAATTAACACAATATTTACCGATTGGGAAAGCAAAGCAAGTTTCTTTGGTTGATATCACACGCAACTATAATATCACACGCAACTATAATACGTACTATTTGATGCAAGAAAACGGAAAAATTACCATTATATGTCGTTCGTCCGATATTTCACCTGAAAAGTACGTAATTGAATTTCCACTGCCTCAATAACTTTTCAAACTTTAAATAAAACTGACATAAATATCTTTTGCAGTATAGTTTACAATTGCTACGGTTAAAAGGAAGTAACGTTAAGTACATATTTATCACATGTTTCAGGTGATGAAATCAAATTATTGAAACAAACCCCAGCATGCTTTTAGGTGCTGATCATCTCTCTGTCAAAAGTTATTGGAAACATAAATGAAGAGATAAACAAGATCAAGTCATTTTTAGTTTTCTATAAGAATGCACCTGCGGAAAATTACACAGAGATTTGGAGCAACCAAAAAAAGGATTTAGTCAATGAACTATACTTTTGATTCAGAAGAGTTAATTTGTTTTGATATTTCATCAAACTACATGACATTGAAAACATATGATTCTGGTCCGTATCAGCTTCTCTTTTTCATTGAACTAGAGATGGTTTGATGTTCTGAATCTTTCATCTCTCCACACAAAAAAGAAAGCTATGGTTTTCATGTCTTGTAATTAACACCACCATCATTTTTCTTCTCCTTCTTCCAAACAATTAAATCAACAGACAACACAACTGACCCCCTTGCTCTTCTATCATTCAAATCTCTCATTTCTAATGACTCTCATTTCTAATGACATTTCTAATGATCCTCTTGGAGCCTTTGCACTCTGGAACACCAGCAACAATCCCAATTTCTGGCATTGGCAAGGTGTTATTTGTGGTCACCGAAATTACCCCGAAAGAATCAGTGCATTAGACCGCAACTCTCTAGAGCTCACTGGTTCTATTTCACCCTCCATTTCCAATTTTAGCTTCATCACGAAACTTGACCTCTCTGCCAATCATTTTCAAGGCCTAATACCACAATCACTCGGTCGTCGTCTCCAATATTTGAATCTGAGCTACAATTCCCTCAATGCCAATATTCCTGCAAGTCTAAACAACTGCTCCACTCTTCGAAGAATTATCTTAAGCAACAATGCGCCGATGGGCATGATTCCAAAAGAACTCGGTTCACTTTCAAATCTACTGTCAATTAATCTTAACGAAAATAAACCTCTTTGGAACAATATTGTTTTCTTTTGGCAACATGTCTTCTCTGACTAACCTACTCCTCTATAATGTTGGATTGGAGGGAAGAATTCCTGATAACCTCGGCAAACTCAAGAGCCTCAAAATCTTTCAAGTTTCGATAAACAAGTTATCAGGTGAAGATCCCTTCCTCTTTATAATCTCTCATCACTTCAGTACTTCGTGGCGGGAGATAACCATTTGCATGGCACTCTTCCGTCGAACATGTTCAACATTCTTCCAAATCTTTAAATGTTTCTCCTTTTTTGATATAATTTTATTGGGCCTATTCCAATTTTCCTCCCTAAAGCATCTAAATTGGTCGAACTTGATTCGGAAGGTAATGGATTCAGTGACATGGTGCCTTCAAATTTAGGAAATTTAAAGAATCTGTACTGGATAAACCTGAGCATGAACCGGTTAGAAGCTAACCAAGCAAAGGGTTGGAACTTTCTAGAATCTTTAACCAACTGCACAAATTTAGGAACACTAGGACTTAGCGGGAATAGTATTGGTGGTGTACTGTCTAACTCTATTGCTAATCTCTGGACAAAGCTTAATATATTGGCAATAGAAGATAACCATATTTTTGAAAACATTCCCAACAGAATTGGGGACCTTGTCAATCTAAGTGTGCTTCTCCTTCATGGAAACAAATTGAAGGATATCATTCCTCATAATCTCGGTAGGCTTCAGAAGTTACATGAATTGCGTTTGTCAGATAACAATTTCCATTGACAAATCTCATCTTCAGTTAGCAATCTCACACAACTAAACTATTTAGACCTGAGAGCTAGTGGAGTTGAAGCTAATATCCCTACTAGTTTAGGGAATTGCAGAAGCTTGATTGTTTTGGAATTTTTCTAAAATAACTTAATGGTGTCATCTCCAAGGAATTTGTTAGCATTGCATCCTTGTTCGTATTGCTCAACCTTTCACATAACTTCTTGACCGGGAGTTTGCCCGTTAAAAGTAAATAGGATGGCTCATCTTTCTGCTTTTGATATTTCAAATAATCGGTTGTCTGGCGAAATTCCTAAAAGTCTAAGTGACTGCAAGAGCTTGGAGTTTATTTATATGCAATACAATTTGTTCAATGGGACTATTCCTTAATCAATGGTGAAATTGAAAGGTCTCAGACACCTAGATCTTTCAAGTAACAACTTATCGGGATCTATTCTAGAATTTCTAGGGAGGTTGAGTTTGGTGTATCTCAATCTTTCATACAACAATCTTGAAGGTGAGGTTCCAAAAGAGGGGGCATTTCTGAATTCAAGTCAAATTTTAATTATTGGCAATGGCAAGCTTTGTGGAGGTGTCCCCCTATTTCATTTGTCAACATGTTCTGCTCGATCATTCAGAAAATATCACTTGTCCAAAATTATTAAAGCTATCATCATATCAGTTATCAGCTTACTAAGTCTACTCCTGATCGTGCTACTGATTGTATTTGTTGTTCTTCGTTGGAAGAAGTGGAAGAAGAACTCGCTGACTTCCTCAAAAGAATCACAATTCAAGAAGCTCCCTTCCTTATCAGATTTGCGATTCATGAAGACTACATATGCAGAAATAGTCAGAGCAACTAATAGATTCTCTCCATCCGGTTTAATTGATGTTGGAAGTTTTAGTTCTGTGTATAAGGGGCTCTCGACTCATACGAGGATATAGTTGTAATTAAGATACTAAACCTTCGGGAAAGGAGCAGCAAACAGTTGCATTGTATAATATAAAACTTTAAGAAACATCAGACACCATAATCTGGTCATGATATTGACGACTTACTCGTCAATAGATTCTAAAGATAATGATTTCAAAGATCTTGTTCTAGAGTACAAGATAAATAGAAATCTAAAAGATTTGCTACATTCAGAGTCAGTTGAGCTGTCTCAGCAGAGAAGGTTGAGTTTTGTCCAGAGAATTAATATAGCCATTGATGTAGCTTCTGCTATGGAGTATCTTTATCATCATACTCATAGGACTATAGTGCATTATGATATCAAACCAAGCAATATTCTCCTAGATGAAGATATGTGTGCCCATGTGAACGATTTTAGCTTAGCGAGATTTCTCTGAGTCGGATAAATATCAAACTCTTTCTACCAGAGTAAACAGGTCTATTGGTTACCGAGTGACTCTGGCAGAAAGAGTTTGATATTCATCCGAATCAGAGAAAAATCTCGCTAAGCTAAAATTACTCACATGGGCACACATATTTTCAACTAGAAGAACATTACTTGGTTTGATATCACAATGCACTATAGTCCTATGAGTATGATGATGAAGATACTCCACAGCAAAAGCTACATCAATGGCTATATTCATTCTCTGGACAAAACTCAACATTCTCTGCTAAGACAGCTCAACTGACTCTGAATGTAGTAAATCTTCTAGATTTCCATTTATCATGTACTCTAGAACAAGATCTATGAAATCATTACCTTCAGAATCTATTGTTTCTTAAAGCTTCATATTCTACAATGAAATTGGCTGCTACTCCTCTCCGGAAGGTTTAGTACCTTAATTATAACTATATCCTCGTATAAGTCGAGAGCCCCTTATACACAAAATCAAAACTTCCAACACTAATTAAACCGGATGGAGAGAATCTATTGGTTGCTCTGACTATTTCTGCATATGTAGTCTTCATGAATCACAAATCTGATAAGGAAGGGAGCTTCTTGAATTGTGATTCTTTTGAGGAAGTCAGCGAGTTCTTTTTCCACTTCTTCCAACGCAGAACAACAAATACAATCAGTAGCACGATCAGGAGTAGACTTAGTAAGTTGATAACTGATATGATGATAGTTTTAAGAATTTTGGACAAGTGATATTTTCCGAATGATCGAGTAGAACATGTTGACAAATGAAACAGGGAGACACCTCCACAAAACTTGCTATTGCCAATAATTAAAATTTGACTTGAATTCAGAAATGCCCCCTCTTTTGGAACCTCACCTTCAAGATTATTGTATGAAAAATTAAGATACACCAAACTCAACCTCCCTAGAAATTCTAGAATGGGTCCCGATAAGTTGTTATTTGAAAGATCTAGGTGTCTGAGACCTTCCAATTTCACCGTTGATTAAGGAATGGTCCCATTAAACAAATTGTATTGCATATAAATAAACTTCAAGCTCTTGCAGTCACTTAGACTATTAGGAATTTCGCCAAACAACCGATTATTTGAAATATCAAAAGCAGAAAGATGAGCCATCCTATTTACTTTAACGGGCAAACTCCCGATCAAGAAGTTATGTGAAAGGTTGAGCAATACGGACAAGAATGCAATGCTAACAAACTCCTTGGAGATGACACCATTAAGTTTATTTTGGAAAAATTCCAAAACAATCAAGCTTCCGTAATTCCCTAAACTAGTAGGGATATTGGCTTCAACTCCACTAGCTCTCAGGTCTTAATAGTTTAGTTGTGTGAGATTGCCAACTGAAGATGAGATTTATCCATGGAAATTGTTATCTGACAAACGCAATTCATGTAACTTCTGAAGCCTACCGAGATTAGGAGGAATGATACCGGTCAATTTGTTTTCATGAAGGAGAAGCACACTTAGATTGGCAAGGTTTCTAATTCTGTTGGGAATGTTTTCGAAAATATGGTTATCTCATATTACCAATATATTAAGCTTTGTCCAGAGATTAGCAATAGAGTTAGGCAGTACACCACCAAGACTATTCCCGCTAAGTCTTAGTGTTCCTAAATTTGTGCAGTTGGTTAAAGATGCTAGAAAGTCCCAACCCTTTGCTTGGTTAGCTTCTAACCGGTTCATGTTCAGGTTTATCCAATACAGATTCTTTAGATTTCCTAAATTTGAAGGCACCATGCCACTGAATCCATTACCTTCCAAATCAAGTTCGACCAATTTAGATGCTTTAGGGAGGGAAATTGGAATAGGCCCAATAAAATTATATCAAAAAAGGAGAAACATTTGAAGATTTGGAAGAATGTTGAACATGTTCGACGGAAGAGTGTCATGCAAATGGTTATATCCCGCCACGAAGTACTGAAGTGATGAGAGATTATAAAGAGAAAGGGATCTTCACCTGATAACTTGTTCATCGAAACTTGAAAGATTTTGAGGCTCTTGAGTTTGCCGAGGTTATCAGGAATTCTTCCCTCCAATCCAGCATTATAGAGGAGTAGGTTAGTCAGAGAAGACATGTTGCCAAAAGAAGACAGTATTGTTCCAAAGAGGTTATTTTCGTCAAGATTAATTGACAGTAGATTTGAAAGTGAACTTGGAATCATGCCTATCGGCGCATTGTTGTTTAAGACAATTCTTCGAAGAGTGGAGCAGTTGTTTAGACTTGAGAATATTGGCATTGAGGGAATTGTAGCTCAGATTCAAATATTGGAGACGACGACCGAGTGATTGTGGTATTAGGCCTTGAAAATGATTGGCAGAGAGGTCAAGTTTCGTGATGAAGCTGAGATTGGAAATAGAGGGTGAAATAGAACCAGTGAGCTCTAGAGAGTTGCGGTCTAACGCACTGACTCTTTCGGGTGATTTCGGTTGCCGCAAATAACACCTTGCCAATGGCAGAAATTGGGATTGTTGCTGGTGTTCCAGGATGCCAAGGCTCCAAGAGGATTATTAGAAATGAGAGATTTGAATGATAGAAGAGCAAGGGGGTCAGTTGTGTTGTCTGTTGATTTAATTGTTTGGAAGAAGGAGAAGAAAAATGATGGTGGTGTTAATTACGAGACATGAAAATCATAGCTTTCTTTTTTGTGTGGAGAGATGAATGATTCAGAACATCAAACCATCTCTAGTTCAATGAAAAAGAGAAGCTGATACAGGCCGGAATCATATGTTTTCAATGCCTGGTTGGTTAAAATATGTGAAGAAAAAGAGTTTACTGGGACATGGAAGCTATGCTAACTGAGGATAACATGAATGGTGCACTAAGAGAATATTATGGATTCAGAAAATGTATTATACATTTTTAAGTATTATGAAAATATGGTCAATGATCAACAGTTTGTAGAACTACAAGCTGATTTCTTGAACATCAATGTTTAGTGGTGAATCCTGCTTCATTAATGTTGAGGCAAGCTGTGACTTTATTCACACGGACGGTGTTCAAGTATTTCAACCGGAATTGACATGTCCATTGATTTTGTAGTATACAACAGTGGCCAAAGTATACAATACGGAGTATATAGTTTCATTTAATAAGGTGTACAGCTACATACTACTTTGTATAGAATACAAAGTGTACAGTAATGTTTTTAAACCTCAACCGTGAGATACAAAGTGCAGAGCTACATACATGATACATGATATTTGGTTAGGTAATTAGAGTATCAAATACATGACTTTCTTATTTTATCAAACTCATGATAAGAATGCAGTTCAACATATTTCTTTTCCTTATAAGTAAGTAGATCAATTAAAATGTATGATATAAGAGTGATAAGTATGAATACATAATGGAACATTATTAAGAGGGAAAAAAAAGAAAAGAGATCTTCCCTATGCAACCACATCATGGCGACTGTATAGCGAGCATGAAATGGGCCCAGTGTGATGAGGGGAAAATCTGTGCACAAAAGATAATATTATTACCAGTTCACAGACAAAAATGATAAATGAAAAACAAGAAAAAAGAATGTTTATGCATTCTAATTTGTAACGGATATGTATGTATGTACGTACGCGTGTGTGTATAGTATAAGAAAAAGAAAAAGAAAAAAGGGCAGGTCATTAAGAATACCTGGTAGAGTTTAAAATTTTTATGCATACTGTGTATAAATAAAAAATCCTCAAATGCAATAAGCCAAAAGACGCAATATAATAGGCTTTGGTATGCCTAACGACAAGAAAGTCTTATGTATAACCGAAACATGATATACAATCTAAATCTAGATTCAAAACAGAGTTTCTGGTCGATATGAATCTGAGTAAAGAAAGTTGAGGTTAATTAAGAGGTAAGACGTCCAAAATTCGAACCTTATTAAATCTTTTACTGCCTTCCTCTTCGATCAAAACCATGAAGTGTCGAAACAAACTAAAGGGAAACCTTAATTCCTATAACTATTCTACAGCTATTCACCATCATCCGTCTTCAAAGATTCAAATCTTGACTCAGCATGAAAACAAATAATAAAGGAAAGCAATGCTGGGTATCTTAGCAGAGGGGTTTAAATGATTTTGAAAATTAAAAAAAAAAATTCTATACCGCTGGCGTCATCTTCGATGATTTAAACTCCAGGAGCTGCCAAACTCAAATCCTCCAACACCCGGGCTTCAGACTTTTCAATATTTTTGAAGGCCGAGCCAAAAACATCAAAAAAAAAGTCAAAAAATCAACAAAAAGGCACCCAAAAAAACATAAAATGCATAAAAAAAATAAAAGAAGAAGAAATAAATCAATACCATTTTCTCGGGACGTAGAGATCGACGACAGTTCCCTCCTCGTTCTGCATCTTGCTCTACGTCTAAATCGCCGGTTGCAGTGCCTAGATTCAAATTTCGATTCAAATGATCAATAAAAAAAATCAAAATTTCTTTGAAAATTAAACGAAATTTATGTTGGCGCCTGTGGTTAAATCATCGAAAACTTAGTACTGAGAACATAAAAGGAAGATACAAGTACAAAACCACCTGTAAATTTTTTCCCCAAGTGATCCCGAAGGCTCTCCTCCGACACGACTCGGGCTCCCTCCTCAGAAAATGAAGCAACCGGACAGCGATCAAAATGGTTCTAATGGATGCTTCATAGCTCTTCCTCGGTTTCAAAAGCTTAATCCATCTGTTATCCTTCGTAACCACCGTCAGTTAGGGCTGTGCATCTTCGATATATAGGGTGGCTCAGCCGCCTCTAGCCTCCTCCTAGCTGCAGCTCAGCCGCCTCAAGCCTCCTCCTAGCTGCCTCAAGCCTCCTCCTAGCTGCAGGCTTTGATACATAGGGTGGCTGGTAGGCACTAGTAGAAACCAATCCCTCTCTTCATTTACGGCGATTTCTTGTTCCCTTGTTCAGCGAAACCAATCCCTCTCTTCATTTACAGCGATTTCTTGTTCTTGTTCAAGGTTTCCCCTTTGGGTCTGTTCGTTTGCCTAAAAAAAGAGGGAAATCAAAGAAAATGATACTTATTTCTAAGAAAAATAGGTTTTTGAATTGTTTGTTGGCTAAAAAAAAAAGAAGGAAATCAAACAAATGGAAATGAGATGAGATGAGTTGTCATATTATTATTGGATGATATGAGTGATTTTTTAAGAAAACTAGTTTTAATGTTGTTTGGTTGGCGAAAAAAATAAGGAAATGAATTATAAGAAACATATTTCCTGTAGTTTTTTGTTTTCTTTTGTTTGGTTCATTCTTAAAAATAAGAAATGAAATGAGATGAGATGAGTTGTCATTGTATTATTGGATGCTGTGACCCACACTTAAGAAAAGTGTTTTCACAACTTTTTGGGATGAAAACAAAGAAATAAAATGTTAATGAGATGAGGTGAATTGTTATAATATTTTATTGGATGATATGAGTGATTTGAAATGATGAGAAGAGATGAGTTGAGTGATGTTTGGATGAAAATAATATTTTATTAGATGTGATGGATGAGTTGTTAGATGAAAATAATATTTTATTAGATGTGATGGATGAGTGGTTAGATGAAAATAATATTTTATTAGATGATGTGGATGAGTTGTTGGATGAAAATAATATTTTATTGGATGTTGTAGGTGAGTTTTAAAAGATGGAAATGGAAGAAATAGTACTTTTTGAGATTTTCACCTTTTCCATTTCCATTTCTTGATTTTTAGGAAATAATCGAACAGACCCTTTGCTCCAATCTCGTTTTAATCGTAGAGGTTTGAGTTTTTTTTTTCTAATTTTCTCGTTTTTTATGATTTTTTTTTTATAATCGGGTATTTTACCCGCTGTCAAAAATTAGGACACATCAGCCTCTTGAATTTGCGATTTTTTTGTAACTTCAGAAGGAGTTTCCCTGACTTGGTAGTTATAATTTGTTATCTTTAGAGCTGGGATTTTGGGGAAATTCCTTCTCTGGAGTCTGCACTTGATTTTGATTCCACTGACATTATTGTTTCTAATTCATCTATTTTTAGAATATTAATCATTATAGTAATTAAATAAGCTTGCGGTGGACTTCTTGCACAGGCATATCATGGCGTCTTCGGATGATGAGGAGGAGCTCGTGCCACAATCGGCGACAAACTATTATTTTCTAGATGCAGAGGAAGCACCCGTCTCATTTGCAACCCCGCCCATCATGTTCGATGACGAAGAGAAACCAAGCGCTTCTAAAGGACATGTATTCTTACATGGAACCGGAAATGATGGGCTTCAAAAAATATTTTTCTTCACATAGATATCTCTTGTAGTTTAGTTTACAACTCCTACAGTTAAAAGCAAATTATTAAAACAAACCTTAGCATATTTATAGGGTTGACGTAGACATCAAAAGAGCTTTATGTTCAAGACTATTGTTTCAGTCTACTCGTGATTTTCAATGGCACCCCATGAAAAAAAACACAAATAAATAAATAAAATAAATAATATAAAATAAAAAAATCAGATAACTTTCTTCATTTATGTCAAGAATTAGGAGCTCGAGTCATCATCACCACTTGGTGTTGCTGAAAGCTGAACTGATCCCTAGGAGAACCGCTGCTTGTTCAATGCCTTACCTATAATGTGTTGCGCGTAACGGAAATTTCGGCAGCACAACAAGAGAGTCTTCAGCTCTTTGTCCGCTGGACTCATTGTGGACTCAACGTGGGCGTGAATTGTTTCACGCACGTGGTGGCTGGGCCCCACTCACATAATGTCCCATATCAATTATACCTTACTGAAAATGTATATGTAAAATACTTGTATTTTCTTCATATATAAGATATTTGTATCGGTTTCTACATCCTTGATGCGCCTCTGAGATAATTAGTACATAAAAGGGTAAGACAATTCTAAAGTCAGCGATTGCACTGGGCATAATTTTTCATGAACCATACTCCAGTTGCCATTTCTGTTTAGAATTGTCTTACCCTTTATGTACTAATTATATCAGAGGCACATCAAGGATGTAGAAACCGATACAAATATCTTATATATGAAAAATTTTTCCAATACAAGTATTTTACATATACATTTTCAGTAAGGTATGATTGATATGAGACATTATAGGTAAAGCATTAAACAAGCAACTGTTCTCATAAGGATCAGTTCAGCTTTCAGCAACACCAAGTGATGATGATGACTCGAGCTCCCAGTTCATGACATAAATGAAAAAGGTTATCTGATTTTTTTATTTAATTTTTTATTATTTATTTTATTTTTTTTATTGTTTTTTTTTTGCATAGGGGTGCCACTGAAAATCACAAGTAGACTGAAACAATAGTCCTGAACATAAAGTTCTTTTGATGTCTGCGTCAACCCTATAAATATGCTGAGGTTTGTTTCAATAATTTGCTTTTAACCATAGGAGTTGTAAACTAAACTACAAGAGATAACTATATGAAGAATAAGATTTTTTTGAAGCCCCTCATCTTCGGTTCCATGTAAGAATACTTGTCCTTCAGAAGCGCTTGGCTTCTCCTCGTCATCGAACATGATGGGCAGGGTTGCAAATGAGATGGGTGCTTCCTCAGCGTCTACAAAATAATAGTTTGTCACCGATTGTGTCACGAGCTCCTCATCATCATCCGAAGATGCCATGACATGCCTGTGCAAGAAGGCCACCGCAAGCTTATTTACTACAATGATTAATAATCTAAAAATCAATGAATTAGAAACAATAATGTCAGTGGAATCAAAATCAAGTGCAGACTCCAGAGAAGGAATTTCCCCAAAATCCCAGCTCAAAACAAAATTGAATTTTACAAATTCGAGGGTTTTATTTTGTAATTTGTAAAAAGTTTAGAGTGTGTATTGCAAATTTCATAAAATTTTAGGGGTTGTTTGTGTCATTTGTAGGTTTTTAATGTTTTTATAGGTTTGAAAATTTTAAGGTATTATTTTATACATTTTGAATTTTTAGGGGTGTTTTTTACAATTTTAAAACTTATAAGATATTTTCTCCGAAGTCAAAAAACTTTCAGTTTATAGCTAGCATATATTTTTTAAATTCCTCACTAAATTAAAATAAGTAAAATTTATAATTTTTAAGATATTTTAAGTTTTTTTAATTTGTAGGGCCGTTTTTACAATTTAAAAAACTCAGAGAATATTTTTTACAAAGTCCCAAAACTTTTAGGTGTTGGCTAGCATATGTTTTTTAGATTTATCTACAAACTGAAATAAGTAAATGATTTGAATTATATGAAACATATCTCTTTTATCCAATAATATGTTAAGTCTCATTATGAATAGAATAAATCATTTAGTTACCAATTCAAAGAAGATATGATAATTAGAATAGATCAAAAAAGCTAAGGGTAATATTGACCATAGAAAGATTTTCTCAAACTCGTATTTTTAAACGAAGTATGATTATTTAAATTGCATGTTGACTGTATGAATGTTGAATACTTCTCTCATTCATTTAGCCAATGTCTTGAGAATGTATCTAACGTCTAATTTCCACTGTGCTCTTAAATTGCGTTTAAATTATTTGTTCCAGCATAGACGTAGGAGATTAAAAGGGAGATTACTCCACCGACACGTTTCAATTCTAGACATCTAAGATTAAATTAACAGTTAAAATAGTTATCTGAAGCTAGCAAAGTTGTAAAGAACTAACATGAGCTAGATTGCAAAAAGTTTTGTACCGAACGGGAAACAAAAAGGAGAGAAGTAAAATAGAGGCCAAGGTTGCTGTTCATTTTCCGCTACGTGTTCTGGTCCAAATTACAATAGTCTATTCTCTCAGGGGCTCAAGTGCAAACTAATATTTGTATATATACGCTGAGATCCGACCCCCTTTTTTCCGTCCGAGAGCCCAAACCGAGCGCAGGTTCTAGTCCCCCGAAAATCGACCGCATGCCGACACGTGTCCTCACACCCTTTCGCGGATCCAAACCTATTTATAATCTTCGTTTAATTCTCAGCTCTCTCGTCCGTTCCCCTCTCCTACCCCTGCTCTCTCTCTCTCCTCCCTCTTTCTCACTCATCGCCGAGCTTGAAAACCCTAGAAAACCCTCGAACCCCCGCATGATCTCGCCCCCGATCCTTCTTGATCTCGAATCGGCTTCCAATTTCTGACGCCTGTGAGAGATTCTGCTCGTGATTCTCTATCGACGGAGATCTCCACCGCTGGGAATGGCGAGCAACGTCTCCACAGTCTACATCCAGGTCATCGATGACGTCGTAAGCAAGGTTCGAGACGAGTTCATCAATTCCGGCGCCGGCGAGGCGGTGCTGAACGAGCTTCAAGCGGTAATTTCAGTGATCTTTTGACGAGAAATGTTGAATTCTAGGGTTTTCATGGCGATTCTAGTGTTTGAGGTTGATTCTAGGGGAAATTGGTGTAGTCTTTTCCATTCTGGAGTCGCTAATGCGTTGATTTGGAGACTGGATGAACCGTAGATTAATTTTGCTTGTCGTGCTAATTTATTGGTAAATTTACCAATTTTTTGGTAGTTTTTAGGGGCTGACTGTTTATCCCTTGGGAAAAAAAATCTAAAATTTTCTTTGATCATTGGTAGTTATGTTTCTATTCGTGTCTAATGTGTTGAATGAGAGAGCTTTGAGTCACTCTGAAGATAATTTGCTAAACTCTAGAATCCCCAACATGATCTCGACCCTGATCCTTGCTGAGATTGGGTCGTCTTCTCTTTCTTCACGTGTGATAGAGATTGTTCCGCAATTGTCTATCTAAGGAGCTCTCTATTTGATATGGCGAGCAATGTCACCCTTGTCTTCGTCCAGTTTAACGGTGACGTCATAGGCAATGCTCGAGGTGTGTTCATCAACTCCAGCGCTGGCAAAGGTGGTGCTTGAACAAGCGTCAAACAGTAATTTTCAGTGATATTTGCTGACAAATGTTGGATTCTAGGGGAAATTGTGTGGTTTTGTCGGTGTTGAGTTGCTATTATATTGAGTGGGGGGATTGGATGAACTGTGGATTGGGGTAAGATTGCTTTTTACCTGGTGTATTGGTGCCAAATTGTTGGATTGTGACTGTAGGGTAAGTTGTAAAGGCTTGTTGCTGTGAAGTTGCTAGTATATTGATTGGGGCAATGGATGAACTGTAAATTTGGTTAATTTAGATTCTTATAATTATTTAGTGATAGAGTTCTCAAAATTTGGTAGCTTTTAGGTTTACCATTTAGTTTTTGGAAAATGTGGCATTTCTCATTTAGTTGTGGTGATTATGTTTCTAATTATTGTCTAATGTGTGGGATGAGAGAGTTTTTCACTCAAAGTGAAAGAGAGTTTGCTAAGGAAAAGTTTTAAGGCTATCAAAATAGCTTTTGGGATGATATATTTGTAAACTTATTGTCTGCTAAACAATGTTGTTTTATGGCACCTGATTTTTTTTTTTGGGAGAAAAACCCAATGTTTTAGATGAAGTTGGGATTTGCCTATTGATTACAGTATTTTTCCATGCGATTCTTCTGGAAATGTTAGATTCTTTTAGACTGGGGCCTTCAAATGATATTTTTTGCTTGAGAAGAATTAGCCTCTACTTTTTTTCTAAATCAAAGGTAGGTGGAGTTATTGATATAATTAATGCTAGATTGTTTTTCATACTGAATGAGTTATTTTTCTAAATAATTTTTGATTTTGTTTGGTTGTTTAAGAAGTTTCTAATGGTTGGTACTTTTGTGTTTTAGTTATGGGAGATGAAGATGCTGCAGTGTGGGGCAATATCAGGAAACATTGAAAGACCACCTGCACCGAAGCAAGGTGCACCAGGCCAAATCACCCCAGTTCATGATTTAAATGTTCCATATGAAGGCCCGATTGAGGAGTATGAGACTCCGACAGCAGAAATGCTGTTTCCACCAGTAAGTTTCTTTGACAGAAGAGGTCCGTTTAGTTGAATTATCAGTACTGGGCTTGCTTTAATTCTTTAATTTGGTTGCAGACACCATTGCAGACCCCAATCCCGACTCCATTGCCTGGAACAGGTGATCAAGGAATGTATAACATCCCCACAGGTCCATCTGATTATGCCCCAAGTCCAATTAGCGATGTCAGGAATGGTCTTGACGTGAAAGGTGGAAGACCCAGTCCTTATATGGTATTGTTTATTTCTCTTTCTGCTGATTTCTAAATAGTGTACATTTAATGGGAGGTTGGATGAACTGTTCTGGTTGATTTCAGTTGGTTGCATGGGTAACTATAAATGGGTCTCGTTTACCTTCCTTTTCTTCTTTATTATGCAGCAACCCCCTTCTCCGTGGATGACTCAACGTCCTTTGGGTGTGGACGTTAATGTTGGTATGTTAAAGAAAGTAGAAAATTTGAGTTAGCCTTTGGTATATCTTGTTAATAATACGCGATTTAGTGGATGGTTGCTATTTGTAATGAACATTGTTTCATATACTTTGTTCCCTTTTTTTAGCCTATGAGGAAGGACGTGAAGAGGTGGATAGAGGAGCTTCCCATCAGGCAGCAACTCAGGTATACTACTTCGGAGAACATGTGGTTTGATATTCGTAACTAGGACTTGAAGTTAAACCCACTACAACCAATCCCCACCCAAATCCTTGAACGCTTGAACTAGGCCTTGAGGGCTATATAGAAAACTGTCTAGATGATCTTTCATTGTGAATTAGGAATGAACTGTGATATAATGTGAAGATAGTTAACTATTTTTAGTCATCCACCTTTTGTTTGCATGATATTTGCAACTATAATATAAAATTAGATTTATACTGTTAACGGTGTTTACTTTTCTGTGTGCTAGTTCCTATTTTCTTGCCAGTTGGTATTATATTCTCATATGGTAATAAATGTTTGGTAAACCTTAAATGGTTCTAACTCTAGGTTTCATGTTCAGGATTTCTTCACCTTGCAATCTGGGAAGCGCAAACGAGATGATTATGCTTCTTTAACATCTGGCGGTCGTATGCCACAGCAAGATGGAAGTGGAGATGTGGCAATTGAGTTTTTACTTCCTGAGGTGCTGAAATTTAGTGGAATTTAGAAATGCAACCGTTTCTGCTTTTGTATATGTCATTTCCCCAATGTTTCAGTTGTTCTTTGTTATTGATATCACATTCTCTCCAGCTACTTAAGCTAGTCCGTGTTATATAATTTCTTGTGAAAATCTTTACTGTTTGGAGTTCATCCGTTTTTTAACCATGGTATTTAGGCTCAACTTGCAGAAATTTTGCTAACAAGGGCATGCTTTTCAGTATTTCTGCAACCATATTGGGTTTTAAGATAGATAGTTCTAAGAATCTTACGTTGCTATTTTTCTATCTATGATGCCATTATCAAGCTTGTTTTAATCTTCTTGTCCACTTGCCTTAACTATGAAATCACCGTTATGATCATTGTCAAGGATATCAAGATAATGCCTAAGCTTTACGCGATTACATTAAAATGAGTAACGAGAAGCATCCGGTGAATATAGAATATATGGAACATAATGCATGAATTTGTCTTAGCTATGTCGACACCCATTCGAGCTGACTGACATTCATGGTGACATTCATACCATGACCATGCTGTCCAAAATCCAGTTGGTCTTTCATTACGTATATAAACCCTTGACTCCTGTAATTAATCAATCTATTGGTTTTAGAAACATATTGTACTTTAGTTTTGTAAGATTTATCAGTTCTCCTGAAGTTGGTTAATTAGGCAATCATCAGGTCAGTCCACCTCTGATCTGACACCTGAATTTGCTATAAGCTTTAATCTTATGTCATTTGTTCCTAGTTGATTGAGATTCAAGCTAAACTATAATGTGCCATTTATATTTTGCTATTTATGGAGAGACACGTGAACATATGGACTAGTGGAGACCTCTTGTGTGTATAATTTCATTTAATAATCAGTTTAGCTAAACAAGGTGCGTGTGGTTGGCATTTTCTGATTTTAGAAATTCAAAGTTGGTTATGGTAAAACACCCGCATGAATAGAAGATATATAATTTCAGTTTGGAACTATTTTTTCTGAAGGTAATGGGTGCATTATTGCTTGCTTGTTCTGTAAATACTGAGTTTTGAATTGTTGCTACTAGTTTCTAATATTGGTATTTCACATGATTGACTTCTGAAGGCTTGTGTTAACTTCTATTTTTCTATTTCTAATAAGGCTTTAGAGATAATAGATGATGTGTTAACTTCTATTTTTATCTGCCTCTAATATAGGAGTGCACTTGTCAAGCATTTTCCATTAGGGTTAATTGCGAACAGACCCCCTGTTGTATCACCCAATTGCGAATAGACCCATTGTAGTTCTATTTTTTGCGAATAGACTGCCCGAGTGAACCGTTTTTTTATTTGTAACTCTAGAAATTGTTGAAAAGGTTTGAAGAGGCGGGTAGACCCCGTACAGTTCTATTGGTGAGGATAGACCCTCAATTGCTAAATTTGTTTACTTTAAAAGAATCGAAAAGTTCACTAAGGGAGTGTATCGCACATGGTGTATTGCACCTGGGTCAATACTACAGGGGCTCTATTCACTACAAATAGAACTACAGGGATTCTATTTACAATTGGTGATACTACGGGTAAGTGTCATCAATGTTGTAAATCATAATTTCATGCTTAAAGCTGATGGAAATAGTTGTTCTGTTTTGTTTGCTGGCAAGAGCTGTAAATATATTTACAATGCAAGAATGAAACGTTAAGAGAAAATTTAACTATAAAAGCCAAGGATGATTCTGGAGGAGGTAACTAAAACCAATCGTAAATCATCTAAAAACTGATGAAACATCATTTAGAAAATTAATTGGCTACCAATGAAACCAGTAAATTCCAACATATGTTTCCTTATGATTCTGCTCCACAAGCTATCTCGGATAGAAAATAATTACAGAATGAAGATGTGTGGTTGGGCTGGCATCGTTATTTTCTTAAGTCTGGCTCACAATCTAACCAGAATAAGGTGGAATTCATTTTAGACACCGTATATATCTTTCCATATCTAGTTTAGAGGCATTTACTTGTTCCTAGAGGCATTGTTTTAAATATCCTTGACATGGTCCGATATGTCGCCCGATATAACCTTTTATAGGGCGTGTGGCAACCGATATGGTCGCAAAATATCATTTACCGCTTTTTGGCTATTTTGGGCGATATATCCTCAATATCGTCGATATATCCGCTGATCTGTTGGTCGATATGTCCTTTTATATGGCTTATCGCAAAATAATACACATATTTGGCAATTTTTGGGCAGGATATTATGATTTTCCTACCATATCAAATGACATTTTGGCATAAAAAGCCAGACAAAATGTTGCAACGTTGATTTGTACCTTTGTATGTTTTATAAGGTTGATTAGTGATTATTGATCCTAAACATATATTAATAACATTTTGTATGCTTAGATTTAATTAAGTATGTTGAAGTTACATTTTAGTGCACTATTCTATATATGCAAACACCCATTATGGCATTCCGATATTTACCGCATATCCCCAATATTTACCGCATATCCACTATCCGATATGAGTTCTGGTCATCTGATATTTCCCTAATATTTTCCTGATGTCCGATATTTAATACCTTGCTTAGAAGACTGTACCGGATATTTTTGAAAGAGCACGTTTCTCTTGTATGTGAAAGATGACTAGAAGCATACAAACTGACGTTAAGGCTCTTATCTAGCATATTGTTGACACTTGATACCATTTCCCTTTTCTTTCCTCCAGGCAAGCCAGTTCCAAAGTTCATCAACCCGACATAGCAAAGAAGCTACACTTAGTGGAACACTCTCACAGGAAGCAAGAGTGGCTCCACTACTCCCTCAGCAAGATGGAATCCATGATGAATATGACGAAGTATTTAACCAACACTAATGAGTTTATATTTACAGCTTTTATTTTTATTGTTCTTATTTTACATATTTTTTTTCCGTTTTTTCTCTCCACAAAGTTGTTTCCTTTCCAAGGAGTTGCCAATGAAGACTATAATAGCAATACACCTGCTGACCATGGTAAGTTGTTTAATTATTTATTAACTTTTCTGTCAAAAATTGGTTGTCTCATCTTGGTAGATACTATTTTAGGAACTCGCTGGATCTTAAAGTTTTTCTATTTATTGTTTCTTTACTAGGTGAACTAAGAGCTCCAACGCCCTCTGTTGGTACACCAAAAGCATCCAAAGGTGAAGCTGTAGATGATGATGAACCTCCATTGAATGAAGATGACGACGACGACGACGATTTGGATGATTTCGATCAAGGAGAGGAAGAGCCCCATACTCAACATCTAGTTCTTGCACAGTTTGATAAGGTAATTATTGTGTCATGCACAAAAGATGGTGTTTTGATATAAAGTAGTTTCTACATCGTGTTGACTACCTCAAATCTCAAATGGGAATAGGTATCCCGAACAAAAAGCCGGTGGAAGTGCACTCTCAAGGATGGGATAATGCATCTCAATAGTCGTGATATTCTTTTCAATAAGGTATGTAGAAGGTTACGATCACTTAAGAAGTCCCGTTATTCTTCATAATTAGATGATAAATATGCCTGTGTTTCTAAGTTATTCTTCTCTCCCAACTCTTGGGCTTGATCTGCTTTCCCAATTAGCTAGAATTTTTCTATTGTTTTTGAGTTTTGTACTGGTAATTATCAGTTTGGTGCGTGCATGTTTTTCTCATCACATGAAAAAATTTTGTAGAAAATTTTTTGTCCTTAATTTGGCTCTCACTAGGCTTTACTTTTTTGACTAGGAAAACCATAACACCTCGCCCAATTTGAAATGAAAGAAATATGAGTTAAGAGGATCTACCGTATATAATTACTCCAAAGATTATCTAACACTCAAACTCCGTACCACACTGGATATGAGCTAACAGAGTATTCACTATACAATGATTAAGTATTAACCACAGCCAGCATTTTTTAAAAAGAAAATTTGAAATATAGAATTGAGCTAGCATTTTTTTTGGGGGAAATGTGAAACATTCAATTGAACATTTTGGAGTGGGGCAATTTCAGAACCCATAGCCTTCTACGAAGTTCTTGCTTGAGGCGATGAATAGTCACACGTCATGTGAGATAGGAAGGTATGGTAATTAATGAATTGTATCATTTTTTTTTTTGGAGGGGGGGGGGGATGAGCGAAGAGGCTATAGAAATTTCCATGAATCGAAAGATTGTGATTGTTACTTTTTGAGGAAAGAATCTTGCAAAACGACATGCTTAAGCGTGTGCTTTGGGAAAGGACTTTCAGGAAGGGCGACCTGTGAAGTTATGAAGGAACACAGATATGCAGATAAGTATACTCTTTTGGTGTCGTTGATCATGACATGCAGGCTTGGACACTATGCACATGAACTAAGTTAGCACTTTGACATCTGAACTTCTCCCCCTGTCGTGTATCTTTAGTTCCATCTGTACCCATACAAGTGGACTCTGAAACTTCTCTTGGGAGCATTATTTTGGCTTCACGTTTCTCTTAAAAAAATTGGTATTATCAGCGCAAAAAAAGAGATGTTTAATAAAACCCCCGTTCTAGTCCTGTTCTTCTCCCATAACTAATCACACATTCATTTCAGGCTAATGGGGAGTTCGACTTTTAAATTCTGATCGGGAAGTTGATTCGCCCAAGTAATTTTTCCTACTGTGATTTGAAGAGCCTCGAGTCGCTGCTGCAGAGTTGGTTGTACAAAAGGATGCCCGATTACCAAATGGATGGTCTGGGGGCAGTGATGTTCGTTATAATGATGCTAAGTTTATCCGGTGCTGTACATCTATTTTCCTGCATAAGTAATACAACTGCACCAATTATTTATTTCAGCCTGAGAAAATCTGTAGAGATACTTCCCTCTGAAATTATTCTGCTTTTAAATTATTCTGATAAGAATATTTATCTAGGCTTCGTCTATTGAATGACTGTTCATGAAATTCATGGTATGTAGCATTTTATTGATTCTTTTTGCTGACTAAGAAGATTATTTTTTTACGAAAATCAGATGCTCTGTGGTATTCATATACTGCATGAATCGAACATTAGTGTTTGCTGTCATATAAGTTTTGTGTGAGGCCCCCTATACAATGGCAGCAACATTTCTATATTTATATATTAGGGGTGGTAATTTTTGACCAGGCCGGCTAACCCGACCTGACCCTGCCCGTTATTAATGGATATGGGTTGGTATATATAGGTTCGGTTTTATATGGGTTTGTCCTGAACTACTCATTTTATTAAACGGATCAATTCGGGTTAGCCCTGAGTCACCCGTGTACCCATATATTGACCTGTTTATTGTTAAACGGGTAACCTGCTGTAAATCATTTCATTCATTCTGCGATTAATATTTTCCATCTCTCTGCATCTTCAACCAACTGTCACCCTGTTTTCTATTCTCCCTCTCTCTCTCTCTCTAAAAGGGTCGCCTGAACCTCTGCCTGGAGATCTCATCTAATCTCTAGGGTGTTAGATTTGGACGGTGATGTAGATTATATGTGGGTTTATTCTTAAAGATCTCATTTAATCTCTAGGGTTTTAACTTTGATTAGATCTCATTTGATCTCCAGCGGGTTTTAAGCTTCGGTTGGTAATGAACATCCTTAGCTTCATATTATGAATTAGTCCCTCAACAATTGAAATTGTGATTATATTCCCTAGTTTTAAAGTTATTTTAAAAATTAGCCCCTCAAATCTTTGACATTGCAATTGGATCCCTCCAAATCTCATAAGGTTTTCCAGATTAATCCTTCCAATTTCTACTTCTTATCTTGATTGGAGGGTCAATTTTAACACAGTTTATTAGAATTGGGGGCTTGATTGCAATTTTATTGATTGAGGGATTACTTTTGGAATAAATTAAGAATTTAGGGACTTAATAGCAATTCCAATGATTTGAGGGACTAATTTATATTAAAGATTTAACGGACTATTATAGATACAGAAAATACCTACTCCTTAACCATGGCTTGAGTTCTCGAATGATTTTCCAGTTTAATTATCCTTCCTGCATCTCAATTGTCATAATAAAAAAAAATGCTCACAACTTTAAGGTTTTTGTTATAAACCTGTTTAATATGTGAACCTGATTCATGGTGCCATCAACTTTTGGCTCACATATGACTTCCCCATAAGAGTTCTATCAATTTCATATTGACCCTCTAGCAATAGAAAAATTGTATACATATCTACTCCTCTATATTTAAAAGTAGAATCCAAAGAATTACTATTCATACTGTAATAAATGCTACAATAATTACTGTTTAATTTATGCTACAGTTAGTTAATCAAATATGTTCATTTGCACTCGAGGTTACTGTTCATACGACAGTAATTATTTGTAGTAATCAGACATGCTCATTTTCATGCTATAGTATTTATTGTATCATAAACAGTAAAGCAAATTAAATGTATTAAAATTTGGATTCTTTTTTAAGTATAGAGAAGTAGATATGATTTCTAAATTAAATGCATTAAAACTTGGACCTTTTTTCAAGTATAGAGAAGTAGATATGATTTTTAATTTTAAGCATATAATAATTAAATCAAATGTATTGAAACTTAGAGGGAGACAAGTTCAAAATGCAGTGCATAAAAAATAGAGGGTCGTGTTTTACACGAGGTGCACACTAGCATGATTAATAGCAATATATGGGTTATTCGGATAATTAGGGTTAGGATGGGTAACCCATTTAATAAACGGGTCAGATAACCATGACCCATTTATTAAACAGGTCGGGTTGGGTTGGGTGAAAATTGACTCGGACCGACCCGACCCGACCCATTTGCCACCCCCAACATTTAATATAGCATACGTTTGTGCTTGAATCTCCCTTGTGGTTTTCTTCTTTCTTCTTTCTTGTTATTTCTTGTTGTGATTAGCTACCCCATTGATGCGTGTTTCTGCAAATAAACGCTAGATTTGGAGGCTTTATCAAAAGAATTGTTTAATATTTCAATACGCTGCATAGACTCTTATAGGCATTGGAGATGCATTCCATACAAATAACGAAGAATAACCATGTTCCTAGAATAATACATGCTTTTGTGAAATATATATCTGACAACCAAGAATTTAAGCAAGTTTCGTATCCACAATTGTACAACATGCCAAATTCAAAATAATAATAATAATAATAATATCACATGCACGCGCACAAAGTTCAAATTATTTCATCCACAACCTCTCCACTTTAAAAACCATGAACTTCTCAGAAATTTGCATATATTATCCAACAGTTGCCGGCCTCGCAACCGAGCCATCAGAATCAAGGTACAGCCGGACGCGGTCTGACCTGAAATCCATAGTAACAAAATGATCCGGCGGCACGATCTGAACACGGGCATCCGGCATGTCCTCCTTTATCTTCTTCTCCGCATCTCCGGCGGTGAGCCCCACCACCTCCGGCCACGAAGACTTCGACGGAGGAGTAGAATTTCCCATT